ACGTTCTTTTATCCAGAATCCGTGAAGAAATTTTTGATGAAGAAAGATCTAATGATTAAACATTTTAAAACTTTAAAAATGAGTTTGATTTGGACGATATACAAAAGAATCCAGATTTCAGCGTCGAAGAAGAACTCGAAAATTGTAAAAATTTTTATGAAAGTTTTTAGTTACAGGTAAATATATTACTTTTCTTATTTGAAAAGTATTTAATTTTTTTTGTGCCTCAAATAACATCTCGAATAATAGTAATCACTACATCGCATGGTGAAGAATTACTATTATGGGAGATGTTACCTGAAACACAATAAAAATTTAAATCTTTTCAAATGAAAAAATAATATATTTAAATTAAACAATCTTCAAACTACGTGTATTTTCCAAGGCATTATTGGAATACCAAAATTTGTTGTTGAAACTAAGGTAAAAGTTTTGTTTAGCAAAGCTACATCAAGTTAAAAAATCTGATGTGGTCAGCACATAACCGACCGCATAGTGTATTGTCTAGTTAAATGAAAGTGTTACAGAATATTATAAAAATGTCTGTTAAATACTTCTTTCCAATTTTTAGGACATTAGTAAGCTTATAGTTAACATACTTAGAAAAATGTAAATTTGGCTCTTAGTAGAGTTTCGCTTTGTGCTACCCGAATTCCCTGAAATGCTCGCCAGTTATTTTCGGTAACAACCAGAACTCATATATCAAATTTCAAGAAATTCCATCAATTTGTTCTGTGGATATGGTGAAAAATGTAAAATCGGCCCGCAAATCAGTTCTCGAGCCCTGATCTTTCCAAAAAAGTTATATGTTCATTGCTTTAATATGAGGAATTCATATATTAAATTTCAATGAAATCGGTTGATTATTTCTCTTTATATACGCAAAAGTGTATGTTTGGCCCGTAGTAAACGTCTAGTTGCCGATGCCTGATCTTTCCAAAAAATTTATATGTTCATTGTTTTAATACGGGAAAATCATATATTAAATTTCAATGAAATCGGTTGATTATTTCTCCTTATATACACAAAAATGTATATTTGACCCGTAGTAAACGTCTAGTTGCTGATGCCTGCTTTCTTCCAAAAGTTAGGAATTTTTGCGTATGATCGAGCAAAGCTTATATATGAAATTTCAAGTAAATCGGTTGAATACTTTCTTCAAAATGGTGAAAAATGTAAAATCGGCCCGCAAATCAGTTCTGGAGCCCTGATCTTTTCAAAAAAGTTATATGTTCATTGTTTTAATACGAGGAGTTCATATATTAAATTTCAATGAAATCGGTTGATTATTTCTCTTTATATACACAAAAATGTATATTTGGCCCGTAGTAAACGTCTAGTTGCCGATGCCTGATTTCTTCCAAAACATACGAATTTTTGCGGACGGTCGAGCTGAGGTTATATATAAAATTTCAAGTAATTCGGTTGAATATTTTCTTCAAAATGTTCAAAAATGTAAAACAGGCCCGCTAAAAAGTGCAGTTCCCGAGGCCTGATATATACCAAAAGTTGATCGATCCGTGCCATGGTGGAAACAAACTTACATGTAAAATTTCATCAAAATCGGTTTAGCCGAACTTGAGATACACGCGTGCACACACAGACCGACAGACCGACAGACCGACAGGTTGCTAAAAATAGTTTATTTACACTTCCCTATTATGGAGAAGTACGTTCCCACCGAAAACTCGATATGCAAAATTTGTTGCCATCACATAACCTACCTATTGTTTACACAATACGGTCGGTAAAAAAGGGATAAATAGTCTGTTTAATTTCCTACCATGTGCTGATGTACAGAATATTTTCAATCACTTTTTGCATTAAAAGCTAACTTCTTCAGTTAAAATTTCAAATACGTATTCTATTGCTGTATTTAGTTTGCAACCACTTGAATGAGTCGTCTTCGGTATGAATACGTATTTATATTCTTGCTCGGTGTAAAATTATGCTTTGATTTAGCCATGTCTGTCCGCTCGATCGCACGATAACTCAAAAACGAATAATGCAATCAGCACAAAACTTTCACAAGTTGTTTCTTTTGTACAAACAAAGGCTGCTGTTGTAATTGGATCAATTCGGACAATGGGTTTAGCTAGCTACCATACAACTCCAAAAGCTTATTTTAAATATTTATTAAAGCCAGATTTATGAGACTTAGCAGTTGTGTGTCCAATTCTGGTCACATACGTATATCTCTGAAGCTTTAATGGAATGACTTCACTGCAGATATTTCTAAAACAAATTTCTAAACTCCGATTGTTAAGGGCCAGGATATAATTCAGTCAGTTTATACTTGCTTGTTTAAATTTAAAAATGGTTCACAATTTATGGTTGGAAAAATTAGTAAGCTATGTTTAAATAAATTATAAGAATGAATTTTTTGATATAATATCAAATTTTATCAAATATAAATATTTTTGAAAAAAAATTTTTTTTTACAATTTTTTAATATTTCAAACAATATTTGGTATCAAAATAATAAAAGAATTTTAACTTTTTGTTTCATAATAATTTTTATTAAATTCATTATTTTTTACATTCTTATGTTCGATTAGTACTTCATCTTCTGAGATACTCAAATACATTTTCTCTGAAGATGAAGTAATAATTGAAACATTATGTAAGAAATAATTGATTTTGATAAAAATTATTATTGTGGAACAAAGGGTTAGTGTTATTTTATACTTTTGATATTGAAGTTTGTTTAAAATATTTAAAAAAATTCTTTCCCAAAGTAAATTTTTAATTCATTTTTACAATCGAATTGGTAAGCCTTTAGAAGGAACTGTTTTGTTTTGAATAATTCTTTCATTTTGAATACCTTATATATCATTCTGCGTAAATTAATTGAAACTTATTGTGATACAATTGTTTACACAAAATGAAAAGTTATACAATTAGGTATTCAAGAAGAATTGTGGTACGAAGTAAAAACGTTTTGTTAATAAAGCAAAAAAAAAAGTTTAACTGTTTTATGAAGCACAAACTCTTATTTTATTTGTTAAAATATTTAAATACTTATTTTGTAATTCTCTGTGTCGGAGGCTATTTGAAATAGATTAAGCTATTTTTAAAAATCATTATTAAATAGGAATCATAAACTAAAAACTTATCATTCCCACTAAAACGACTTTGAATTAACATTATATATGTATGTTTTTGCATTCAGTATTTGCAATTATTTTGTGGTATATCTACAATTCTTTGTCGTACGTGCAAAAATGAAAGAAAAACCGTAAATCGTGTCCCTTACAACAAGATGGTTTTGACAAAAATGTCCAAAATCTCGAAATTTTTGTTCGGACTAGGTATATTTTTCAATACCATTTTAAAGCTAATTCATCATACTACAAGATCTTTATTCAAAATTAGGCACTTCTTCGGCTCAATTTATTACTTTTGTAGTTTAAACTTCTAACTCAATTCGATTTTCAGGATATACGACAAAATAATTTTGGGGTGGCAATATGCAGCTACTCTAACTTAATTTTACCTCAACTAGTGATAATAAATAAAAGTACTTTGCCGTTACATTTAAATCTAAAAAGTGACAGCAAAATTAAAATGTCACTTTTATTTGCAAAACTCTATACCTCCGAAGTTTTTTGTAAAACCTGTGAGTTTAACTTCAAGCTACATATATAAATTATAGGTTAATTAATAATATTAACTTGTTGATAGTAATGTAGCCATAAAAATCTCTATCGTGTTTTGGCGTAACCATTTTTTATTTTAATATGAACACACACACATATATACTTGTATTTTATTTCAGTTTTTTTGTCTTTAATAGAAATTTTTTCAACTTTTTTTATTCCTCTCTTCCTTTTTTACTTTAACTTTTATTTGTATTCTAAAAATATCAATTTTATTATAAAATTGATATTTTTAATTTATATGAAATTATAAAATATAGAAATACTTACATATTTCTCTGAAGATTGTCATTCTTGTTTTTTGTTTCAAATTACTTAACGTAAAGTTATAAAGAGCTTATACAAGCAACTGCATAATTTTGTATCATTTATATATACTCGTATATAAATTAATTGCAAGTGCTTGCAATTAATTTATATATGTGATAAAACATTCTATGCATCCTACCTTGATTAGAACTATATTTCCCCAAGTTTTAAGAAATATGTACCATTCCCATTATGCGGCAAGAAAACATTTCCACCGCCCTTTAAACGCAATGAACAGAGCAATTCAGAGCATAATCAGAATATCCTTTATAAGAAATATTTACCGTTTTTACATTATTTATCTGAGTAAACTTTTATTGTAAAGTAAAAAGCTAAATTTAAAAATTTCAGCTGAATGAAATAAGAAAAATTAGGTAATTTAGATGCGCTTAATAAATTTTTTATTACAGTTCAATAAAAATTAATTTTACAAAAATCCTAGATATAATGGTGTAGTTGCAAATGGTATTTTCAAAAATGATAAAATTTATAGCTGTGCTAAATTTAAATTTTACCTCACTCAATCTCACTCAATTTTAAAGCTGACTAAAGCAAAAGTCATAAAAATTTTTATTGGGAACATTTCTTGTCACTAGTAACACCGGCAAAATACAGTGCAGTATAATGTTAGTTGTTTAATATTTTTGTTACAGATTTTTACCAGAATGCTGCCTTGTCATTAAGAGGAAATTGTATCTAAATTTTTCAGTTGACTTTTACATTTTTCGCTATCATTACAATTTTTTTTAAACTGAAAAATACGAACATATCACCCGGACATGCACATGTATATTTTCTAAGATGCTTCAGGATGAAAGGATCTTATTTAAAAATATTAGAGTTCCCAGTACAGAACCTTAATTTTGAAAATTGATCCTATTATAGTAAATTCAAAACGTTTTAATGGCCTACACAACTTCTACCGATTGATATACATCCATATACAGTAAGATAATATATTATTTAGATTTAATTGTTAATTGCTATTAATAATAGTTATCACAATAAAAACAAAAAACATCAGTTACATACCAGTTCCCATTTTATTTTGAAAATATTTATATCCAAAAGTATCCAGAATTTTAGATTTAATTTTCACAACCTTTTTTTAAGATTTTTTTCCTTATTCTAAAAAATTTTATTTTAAATAGGATTCTTTACAGTTATTATGTAATAAATTTATGCAAAATATACCGATTTTTGATTTTATATCTAAATAATTTAGGCAAAAACTTAATATATTATTTTTTTATAATTATTCCAATAATTAATAGAAGTTAATCGAAATACACAAGCAACAACAATACTGCCAACAATTCTACTTTTTCTTAAAAAAATTTATCCACTAATTTTTTTTTTGAAATGTACAATATGTAACTCTATATTACTCTTATATAAACGCGCTTATTCAGATTATAATTTAAGTTCAAAAAATAAATTAAAATAAATTTTTTTTTTGAATTTTTTTAAAAATAATTTTGAAAACAAAATTTAAATTACATAGCATCATGTTCAAAAACAGTATATCGACTAATTGAATGCTTGATTATATCATCATCGTACCACAAAAATGTCAAGCAGTCCACAAGATACGTACGAACATTGAGAGGTATGAGAATATATGTTGGTATATGTATATTGTATAAATACTTATATGTATACAAATACCCCATTTATGTATACATAAGTATATAATTTTTTATTCCATATTTTCTAACACAACTATGAGAGACTCGAAAATTATTTTACATACAGAATACCCTCTTTTATATAAAATATTATAAAAAAAGACTAGGAAAAAAAGTCGTTCTTTTTGTTATCCTTTCCTTTTCCAATCTATTTGCTTTTTGTTTGCTTTTATTATTATATCCTGTTTTACCGAAATGGATGAGTAAATTATGCCGACGCCCGATGTGTTATTTTTATTTACAGCTTCCTTATTTTCATTAAAATTTCTTGTTACACATTGTGAAAAAAAAGAAAAAGGGAAAATAAGGAAAAAAGAAAAACAACACTTTTTTGTCCTGTAATTGTCGTCGTCACTTTACGTAGTCAATGGCTCGCGGCAACTTATTATTTGCATCATAAGTCTGATATACATAGATGGATGTGATAAGATCCTTTATTTCTATAACACTTTTAAATTTTAAAAATAGTCATTTTGAGTCATAATGCAATTAATACACGCCAGCTTACGTTTTTCTCTTTGGTTTTTTTTTTTTAGTTTAGTAGTTTTAATTTCACGATTGTCTATATTTTTCATCCAAACGTTGATTTATTTTTATATCAATTATATTATACGTTATATGGGTATGTAAATCCTTCATATAAGTTCATTTCATACACGAACCCTTTTGAATGTATTAGTATTTAAAAAATTATAATATATCTCTATAAATATATAAGTTTTTTTAAGATATCAGCGCAATCTGGCTTTTCGATATTTTACCACAGATTGTCACGATTATTCCTTTTCTTTCTGTTTTTTTTTGTTCTCATTCTTTTCTTGCTAAGATTTCATGATATATTCTTGCTAAAATTTGTACGTACATATACATAAATTCATCAAAATGTTAATGCGTATACATATTATGTGTACCTGCATATATATATATATGTATCTTTTAAGTAAAAAAACTTTCTTATATTCCCAAGGAGACATATTTAACATATAAGAATCAGCTAGTCAAAAATCACCATCTTTTTTAAAGAAAATATGAAGATACAGTGAAACAGGAAAAAAAACCCCAAGCTATAATTCGCACCCTTAAATATATCGTAAAATCCGCACTAACACTCATGAATGAAAAAAAAATGTAATTGAGGAAAGTTTATAATGAATAACGCAGTTGGATAGGTGTGTATGTACGTATATACTTAATGAATGAATATTGTGATATGCATGTATGTGTCTGTGTATGTACAAATGTATTAAAAGCAATATATCATTAATTTTAAAACATTTATATATACAAAAAAACAAAAAAAAATAAAGAGTATTTTTCAACTTCATTTTATTGTAGCTTTTGTGACCTACCAACTTTATGTAATCAGGATTTTCATTAAATTTTTTACTTATAATAAAAAAAGCCCAAAATCAAATAATTTTTTTTTATGTCTTACGCAATTACATAAAATTCCTGTATTATTCTAACATAATATTAATTTATTCATCTTGGCTAGTATATATACATTAGACTATGTATGTATCTAAAAATGCGTGTATTCATTTTTGTATATAAAATAAACCATATCTTTATTTTGACGCTCCTTTTTTAAGAAATTGTGATTGGGTGGGCGGAAAATTATTTCAAAATTATTATGCATATGTATTTATATATACCATGTATTTACCTTTATTAAAACCAATATCCATAAGTACAAAAACTTGTATATAGTATAATAAAGATGTAGACATTTTTATCAATATTATATGCTTCTACGAAAAAGTTATACATTTTAGGATAGTTATACATACATATATAAATTATCATGGGAACCATGAGAGATAATTTTATGTATAACTTATTTAAGACTTTCCAACTGATAGACTTTTTGGAATTTATTAAAATTTAATATGCACATACATAAATACACAAATACTTATATTTTAATATGTATAAACGAATGCATGTGCACATATGTTTATATGTTACGTTAATATAAAGTATTAAATACAGTTATTATAAAATTTGCTGTTATTCAGATGAAAGTTTCTGACAATTTGAATAAATTTGAAGAATTTTATTGGATTTGTTTAACAAAAGGTACATGTTCGTGTTAATTGGAATTCATTTATTTACTCTGCTACACTTTTGCATTTAGCTTAAAAAATAAATGTCAAATATTTTATCAATTTTAATATACTTATTTTTTATACTTATTTCAGTTATAGTAAAGGGCATCTTAAAAAATTCTTACACAAATTTAAAAATATCATACACTCGTAACAATGGAAAAAGAACAAGAAGATCAAGAATCCTCCAAGTAACTGCAATAATTTACATTTGGTAAAACGTTTCCTAACCTTTAAATTGCAGTGCGGTAAAAATATCCTATTCAGCTGATGAGTCTGATAGAATGTAATTCTACACAATATTGGAATTTGCAGTTAGTATTTAAATTAAATTGACTAATTAATACAAAATATTTTTGCTGTATTCAAAATTTAAATTTTACTTCTTTTCTTATTGCTATTTAAACAATTCGACTTAGATATTTGGTCTCTGTCATGTAATGAATGAAAAGACGACTTTCTTAACTAATAAAAGTTATTTTATTTTCTACTGCTGTTTTAATTATTTATCTATGCCTATATGTGATTTATTTTTTTATACGTCTACAGGTACTATATTTAAGAAAAAATAAATGTCGAATTCTAAAATATTAATAGGTTTTATTTTTATACCTGCAGATAAAATAGCAAAGGATGTGTTGTAAGACAAAACCTTTAAAACTCTTTACCAATGTTTTTATGGTTTTATTGCAATTAATAGAATTTTAAAACATTTGTAAATAATTATCAATGAATCCTTTAAGAAGAAAAATAATAATAGTTATAGCAGTTTTTAAAAAAAATTTTCTAAAAAGCTAACGGTACTGTTTACCTGTTTTAAATATTTCGATTTTTATTGTTATAAAAAGGTACGTACAATTTTTAATACAATATTTTGTTACACTTAAGGATTTACTCTATTGATGACATTATTTGTGTGTGTTAGTAATTTAGAGGTATAATAATTGTATATATAAAGGGAATATTATATTTTTTAATTAATTTTGGTGCCAATATCACAGTAAATAGATTTTATTTTATTTCTAATTCAATTGTGGGAATGTGTGAACTTTGTTTAACAAAAATTTTTATAATCTTCATCCTGTTTAGCTTTTTTGTGTTTTATTATACATGTTCTTATAATTTTTATTATTTATCTATTGTAAAGCGTTAAATTACTTGGTTTTTTTATGAATGAAAAAGATAATTGTTATTTTTAAAATATATTTAATTTTTTTTCAATTCTTAGAAAATTTTCTCAGGTCAAAGAAATTTATTGATAAATTTCAATTCAGTTTCATATTATTTTCACAGGTTTTTGTCATAAACGGATATGTCTTACTCTTGCAATATTTTGCATACATACACAATAACATGCACATGGAATTTGAACAATACATTTTTTTAATTATTTTCAATTTACTTTTTTACCTTGGAAAAATTAAATTCAATTTACTTGGCACTAAATTTATTTAATAAACACATCGAAAAAAATTATGAACATATGTATAAACATTTATGTACATTGTACATACATAAAGGGATATACATATTTATTTAATAAAATTTAAAAAATTTATTTATAAAATTTAAATGTATTTAAATTTTAGAATTTTAAAAAATAATATTTGTTTGAACATTACGGATATTAATCGTTGATATAACAAACTGGTGTTCGCAAATATTTGAAACTAGATGTATGTGGTGAAAATTAATCAAATAACTGAACTGAAAGCGTAAAAGTTAAGAAGACCTGTATGTATGAACGCATGTTTACGTATGAAAAATCACGCGATTGGAGGTGCTGGATTTGGTAAAAAGCAACATATCCAAATCGCTACAAAGTTGGTAAATAAATCTGATAACAAAAAAACAGGCACAAATAATGTTTTGAATTGCATTTCTGATTGTATTATTTTTTTGGTTTTTTGTGGCACAAGAGAAAATTTTGTTTAATTCAAAATGTAGCACTGTGGAAGCAAATATTATATTAAAAGAATACCATGCTGTAATGATGTAATACTTGGGAATAATTTAATTTTTATGCAATATTTATTTTTTATGTAACCGAATTTTATTTGCTAATTTTTTTTTTATCTACGAGGTCAATAATATTTATTCAAAACAAGTTATAAACGCTTTAACTCAAATGAAATCAGAAGTCGGTCTTGGCAATAAATTACCATTAATTAAAATGAAAGAAATTTTGGGCAGCTATAGCTGATGTCTTGCGAGATTCTTTATAAAATAAAACAACATAACATAAACTCATCCATTGTCATCGTGAAAGGCAGTAATACATTGGTTAGAAGATCATAAATGGGTAAAAATTTTGTCCCGGAGTA